TACTGTAGCCAAACACGCTGATATTGAGTCACAGGCACACAGCAGGAGATAAAACACCCGAGAAGCTAATTCATAGAAGTGGGATATGGAATTGTTTAACAAGGTGCAAATTCAGCATTCCCATGAGGATAAACTGAACGTGGACTGCTAAGCAAGTATGCAAATTTAAGTCAGGAGCACTGCTTCAAGAAAGCATCACGGTGTAAATCTCAAAATACACTGCATAAAATTTTAGAGATTTTATAAAGTTTTGCAATATTTGTGCCGTGGATTGAATTGTCTTGAGAGATGCAGAGCTTACCTTTTCTAGGCTACTAATTAAAACATTCTCAGGTTTCAAAAACCTTGCTTTCTATCTCTCCACAGCCATAATTTGCATTGAGACACACCAAATGCAATTGGTTACGAACCACAAGTGTGTGCTCATGGCAAACTGCTCTTTGGTATTTTTTCGTTCTTGTAAGAGTAAAAAAGTAACAAGCCTGGTAAACTCCATTTTAAGATGCTGTGCTGTGATTTAAGTGCTGTCGTTGGTAACTCTGCACTAACATTTTACCTAGCAGGAAGCACATTCCTACACAGGCTCATCCTGCTCTGGGAGCTGCACTCCTCCACGGCTCTCCTGACTGAGCTCCAAACCAGACCACATCACCCCAGGGCACCACGGATAACACAGCCCTGTAAAGGATGCCAAAAAGCCCCCACACATGACTTATGACTTATTTATGTGGGTCAGTTTCCGACAGACAAGCTCCTCCTCCCAGGAAAAAACATCAGGCACACCGAGGGGTACAGGGGCTTTTGAGTCCTTCTGCTGAGCCCTGTGATGCACCAGGACATGGTGACACCAGCACAGGCAGCCCTGGGGCTCCTGCACACAGCCCGGGGCAGGGTCTCTTTCAGACTCACTCTGCAGGCACCTCCAGTCTGGCAGCAGTGCTTGCTGAAGTGGAGTGCATTGCAGTTTACACTTTTTTATATTTTCCCCACCCTTCTGCGTGCCTTTCAGTGCAACCTGAGGCTTCACCAAAGCAAGAGAGAGAGAGAAATATCTATTGAACCACTCTGATTCTTGGAAGTTACAGATCTTTTCCTCCACGGATGGGAAGCTTTCTGGCACTCCCTTTAAAATAGAATAACCACAGGGAACAGGCACTGCGTGTGGGTGTTACCAGATACCCATCTCGGCAGCTCCATGAAGTAGCAACTGCTTTAAAGTATATTGCCAAGTTCACAGAACTTTTATTGTTCACACTCCTGGGGTTATTTTACCAAGACTGACAATAATCCATTATGTAAAACCTCCAGCTGCAGACGAACTAAGGGAGACATGTGACACCACGGACACAGGGAGTCTGAACCTACAGGGCAGAAATACACACAAAGAATGGTGTTTTGCAGTGTGTCTTATTATAAAATAAGCATTTAAATTGTTGCTCAGCACCATCATTTGTCTGGGAAGTTACAAACATGGATATACTACTCTAATACTGGAGGGAGGAGGTGTCAGTAAAGCATCTCCAAGCAGAACCAAAACTGCTGGGAAAAGCCTGTTTCTACTGTACCTGATTTCAACAGAGAAATTTATAAAGCAGGTGCACACATCATCAGCTGTCTCTCCCCCCTGAACCAGATAGCGTAGTATTTCATTCAATTTATTTGAAGCTCACCTAAAATGTCTGTAAAGGAGTTAAAAATCCTGTAATGGGAGAGAAAATCCCAATAGAGAAAGTACAAAGGAAGCCTGATGTTTGCCCGTGCACAAACAGGTCTCTGGAGAAATGTGGGACTCTTCAGGGAAGCAGGGAGAAAGGAACTGGGAGAAAAGCTGTACAGGCAGATTTATTCCTTCCTCTTCAGGTGGGGCAGGAGTACCCCATTATTGACAAACTAGGGGTTTTTTTTTCAGGAAAAAAAAATAGCAGTATGTCACAAGTGGCTGTTGGTGCTTTATCCACTTCAGCTTCACCTTCAGCTGAAATCAGACAGTTACAAGGTTGTAGAGTGCTACCCCTAGGCAAGCTTTCAGGTTAAAACATGTGGGATGAGTAAGAGATGAGCAAAAGAACTCACCAACTCCTGCTGAGTTTCCAGACAGCTTGAAACAAGACATTTACAATTAAAAAAAGGAAGAGGTTCGCCAGTTCTCATAAAATAACATTAGAAATTCAAGTCAAAATAAGCTCGAGGTTTTTGACTGGATGATGTGACTTTATTTTTTTTTGCATGTATATTTGCATCATATACTGGCTTATACCATATCCTTTATGCAGACAACCAGGCACAACATTTAACTCTCTGCCAGTCTCACTTAACCTTTCTGCTCCTTGTAGACACATTTCTCCTTATATTCATAGCCGAGGGAAATAAAGTTCCATTACAGCTATGTTTATATAAGGAAATATCAACAGACACTGAAGAAATGTGAATAAATCCAAGCAGAGACTTTCCTAGCAAAAGCACTTGCTTAGTCACCCCCCACTCAGGATAAATGTATACACCCCTCACATGCAGAACCCAGAAAGATGCAAAATATCTGCATCAGTTCAGTATCAGTTTGCATTTGTTGGGTTGAGGGGGTGGTGTTTTGTTTGTTTGTTTGTTTTTAAATCAACACACTACAGTTGTAATTCTGGGTATGAAAAGGGTGTGTGATGTATCAGCCAACTGCTTGTTTCCCAAAGGGAGTAAATCCCCCATCTGTAACACAAAGTTGGGTCTTTCACTGCTTCCTGAGGTGAATCAGAAGCGCTTCCACAGCTGGGGCATCTTGGCCCTGCCTGTGCCATCACTGCATCTCTTGGATGTCAGGGGGTTGTGACAGTTTCTTCCAATATGAACCCCTGCACCTCCTGAGGAGTGAATTCCACAGGCTGACTTTAGGACACTGCTCCTTCCTTCACTGCCAAGGCAAATACAATTAATCACAATTTTCAAAAGCAGCATGAGCATCGTTTTAAAACAGGCACTAGCTGGATGAAAGAAAAAGTAATTTTAAAATAAATTCCAGATATGTTTAAATCTTTTGTGCTATTTATGCTATTATAGTGTTTTTCATGTTGCACAATGAAGTTTCTGAATTGTCTATAGAAAAAGTGAACAAATTATTGCTGAAAGGTCTTTTTTCAATCTAAATTATTCCATTCTATGAAAGAACCTTCATCCCACAGTTGTTCTTTTTAGCCACGGAAATAAAAATAATGCCTTTGTTAAGATCTACACTAATATGGATTTATGCATTTTGATCTGACTCCAGATAATACTCACACTGAGACCAATGTGAAACAATTCTAGATTTAAAATTCCTCAATCTATGTAATCTCTTATTTTAAGGAACAAGGTTACATCCAAAGACCTGTTTAGATCCATTAAATCACACTTAGCTTAAACCAGCAATCACAAACTGTAATTCGTAACAATCCAAACAAAAGCTGGAAAGTAAGTGAATTGCTATGGAGACAACAGCTTTCTCCTTCTCCTGTACACCTCAGATAATACATCCATCATAAAACGGAATTTGTTGTTACTGTAAGTCCTTCACCATTTAAAATAAGATGAAAAAAGAATAACTGACCTGGCCCAGAAAATACGCCAAATTAAAATCCAATACAACTGTGTTTTTTAAATTGCATACACGCTGACAATGAAAACATCTACCTGCTAAACATGACTCTGCAATCCTGATTCACTGAGCCTAATAAAAATCAGGAAGTGGCACCCTGAAATTGTCTCTCTTTTCTCTCCCCTTTGCCTCCCCCAGCAGCCCCCCTTCCCCCCAGCATCAGAAAAGTAAAACTTACACAGTACATGGTGACATAGCTAAGCCTTTAATGCAGACCAGGATGGCTTTATACAGGGGTCCTCCAGCTTACCTGTGGCTTGGCAGAAGAGGTGGAAAGGTCCCCGGACACTAACATGCTGTGTCTGGTCACTTAGGAAAGGTGGCAACAACATGACCTTTATGGGGTCTGTGCTAGACCAAACATCAGGCCGGGTACTGGTGGGTGAAGGAGGTGAATCACTTCCCACACAGGACAAAAAGGAGGTACCAGTAGGAGGGAAAGGTATAGGAGATGAGGCTGTGTGACAGAAGAGGACAGAAAAGAAAGTAAAAGGGTACTAAGGAAAAAAGTTGCAAGAAATACATCACACAATGAAGAAATAATGCAAAAAGACAAATGAATTTTAGAAAGGTAGTAAGAGGAAATGTCCCTTGGCCCCTAGAGAAAAGCACTTTCCTCCTTCACCCACGTTTTTTTTTCCCCCATCCTTCCAATCCCTCCCCCTGGGTTATAACCTGCTCATTTGAAGTTGAGAGGCTGTATCAAATTAATTACGAAAGTTCTCACTTTCCCCCTTAAAGGAAACCACAAGGAACATTAGTGCTTGCCAAATGGAAAGCAGTGTCATTGTGTCACGTTTCATAAATAATACAATTTATTTTAATATTTATTCTGTTATATGTACATAATTAAAAATAGAAAAATAAAACCAAACTGAATCTTATAAAATATAAACTGTTTACACTAAGATGGTCTAAATTATGGAAGTTCAACATAGAAAAGCAGCCCAGGCATTCTGCTGTTTACTGTTAAAACAAATTCTACTTCTAGCAATATTTACAGAAAGATGCAGTGAGAGGAACAATTCTTCAGGACTGTTACTGCACACAAAATGCTTTTACAGACAAACAGTGCTGCTGTGAACCAGGCTGAGAACAAATGCACACTTTCACGTCAGCAGGCATGATTCACATAAACAGTTCAAAGGACTGATTGTTTAAGCAGCTCCAGTTTCAGTCTCCAGTTGCATAGGAGAGTGGAAGGTATCATCCGGAAAGGGTGATGCTGCAAAGATTTGTCACAAAAAGAAGCTGAGTTATTTCTGAACCTGAAAAGAAGAACAACAAAAAAAAAACCTCGGCAACGTTTCCTCGTCAGGCTGAGTCCTTACAGTCCACTTCAGAGAGTCACCAGCTGAATTGTTGGAGTTAGTTCTTCTTGATTCCTGTTTTGCTCCCACAATGCAAGAAACCTCTTTCCTTGTCACTGCTAACTGACAGATGCTTGCCTGTACTGTTTCATCAACTAAAGGAAAAAAAAAAATCCAGTTTTGTATAGAAAATAAAACATCACTATGTCCAGCTTTCTAGCTGGTGGGGGGAGGAAAAACAAAAAAAAAAAGAAAAAGCATTTATTTCCTCCTTCCCCATTCCCCACTTACTCCATGTTTTGTACTGATATTGTTGTACCTACATTTCTAAAAAGCAGCAAAGAAAAAAACCTTTAAACAAGATTATCCCTGAGTCTTACACAAATCAAGGCAATGCTATCCCCATTGTACCTTAAAATCTAAGATACTCAAAAAGTAGTTAAAAAAATTAACTTTAACCAACTAAAGAGATCTAGTGTGCCAAAACACAAAGCATGAAACTAAAAATAATCACTAGAAGCAAAGAAAAAAATGTCCCAATCTGGACAAAAGTCTATAATTTACCAATCTGATAAACTAAACTCAATTTCCAATTTGGAATTAAAATGAAACTAGGTCTTTTTTTAATGGCAACTAAAAACGTGTGTAGACTGAAGTACTTTTTAAAGCCAACTGAATTAAAAAGTTACTTTTACTCTATGGAAGAACATGGCCAAAGAACAAGCAAGTAGCTTCACTGGAGCAAAGCGCTCAGTGGGGGGGGAAAAAAATACCTGGAATAAACAAGTGGCGATCTGAAACTGGCCATTCAAAAAAACTTTTTTTAAAAAAAAAAGAAGGACAGTACGACACAAGATGCCACGGTCTCCAGACAAGAACACCGCTTCTCTAATCTGCTGAGATCTGAATGGAAACTGGCTCGCTGTACAGCTGAAGCACGAAAACCCCGCTATGGCTTGGCCGTCGTTCCCCGCCGCGCTGCCCCTGCTCCGACAGCCGCCGCGGGACCGCGGCTCGCATCCACCTCGGAAAGGAGAGGGAATGGATCAGCCATCAGTCCCCTTCCACGTCCGAGTCTGCGAACTTGAGCTCGCACTTGACATCGAAGGGCTTGTCCTTGGCCTCGCGGGACGCCTGCGAGTCCCCGGCCTGCAGCTGGCTGTTCCCGCAGTCGGGCTCCGTCTCGTAGCCGGTGTCGTGCGCGGGCTTGGGCTGCTCCCCGCTCTGGTGGCTCACGCTGCCCTGCTCCACCAGCGTCTCCTTCACGCTCTGCTCGCAGTCGGAAAAATCCGACTTGGTTTTCTTCTTGCCGAGCAGCATGACGGAGCGGAACTTCAGGCACTGCCCCGGCAGGTACCCCTTGTAGCAGTTGTAGGAGAGCAGGCACAGAAACAGAATGAAAAAGAAGAGGAAGAGGAACATCAACAAGAAGTTGTCGTTTGACTTGAGGAACATCGTCTTTTCTGGGACCGCATCGGGAATTGAGTTGAAGAGCTCTGTGTTGGAGGCTACACTCGTCAGGACAGGGCCAATGGGCTTTGTCACTATCCTTGCTGTCGTGACTGGCACCATGTGAGTGGTCGAGGTGTGAGCAGTGGAACCCTCGGTTGACACAGCTGAGGCCTTTGGCACATCACTATTACCTTCTGTTGGTGCAGCTGCTGCGGTGGGGCCCGCCACGGTGTGCTGTATTTTTTTCAGTTCCAAAACGTGCTTAGCCAGCACTTGAGAAAATTTCTTATTCTTCACTTTTTCTTCTGACAAACACTGGTAAACGCCACTGTCTCCTTCTGATAAATTGAAGATGAGCAGTGCCTTTTCCAGCAGACGGTACTTGGGACTCTCCACTCTCAGCACATCATCTTTGAACTTCCAAACTACCTGTGCCAGATTGGACTTTTGAGAACACTTGAGTTCTGCTGTGCTCCCATGCTTGAATGTATGCTGTAGGGGATTCTCTCTTACTTTATCTGGAACATCAAAATAAATGTGCAGAGTATCAGCAATGATTCCAGTTTCTCTAACCTGTACAGCTTCACAGGACTGTGTTACAGCCTTAATAGAAAGTGTGAAGGTCTATGGCATTCACCTCACAAGACCAAGATGACAGCATGCAAGAATCTGAGTGAAATACCAAGCTACAGCTGCACGCAAAACATCAAGACAGACTAAGACAGGACACCTCAAACTCTAAGAGAGCCTCCACTTCTAGACAAAGATGAGACCTTGCTGATCCACAACTGAGTGTGCACCTGAGACGAGTCATTGAGGCAAGATACTGAACTTGGGGGTAAATCAAACTCTTAAGAGCTTTGTTTACTGCAGCTCAAACCTCCTGTAACACTACTGCCTCTTTAAGATGTCCTTGATCTGGTGGCAGCAGCACACACTACAAAGAAAGGACCTGTGATTACTTGTCTTAAAAGCACTATGGAAGGTACTTCAGCTGCTCTGTACTTTGATCCAAGCTCCCCCTCCCCTCTCACTATAAAATCAGCTTTTTTTCCAAGTCACTTAATCTGATCTAGCAGCAATAACCAAGCACTTGTCAAGGCTCACAGTAGAACGTCAAATGCTGTATCAAAGAGACAGAGGCCTCTGCAATAGAAGTACTTCTGGTATTGCTTTCATTCACAAGCCACTGTTGAGGTGCCCCCGTTCATTTCAGGGGGTTGTGCACTGCACACTGAAACGCATACAAACACAGACATTTTTAAGACAACATGCAGGCTGTACAGATGCTCAAATATTCAAAAGCAGAATCTCATACCTATAAAAATGTAAATGCACGTTCAGGTAATCACAAAAGCAAAGCTGAACTAAGCACAACTCTTTCACTACTCCACCTAGGCACATGAAAGAGCTCTTCAAAGACTAACTCACCAGAACAAGAAGATGCATCTCCACCTATGTTCTGAATCCAGTTCCTGTAAAAGGAAGCCCAAACATTAAAACTTCAAATCCTGTTTCCTAGAGCCTGCCCATTCCCTTACTGTAGTAAGTCAGTCATCTTATCTAAACAGCACTAGCAGACACAAATGGATAGAAAAAAGTCTGTATTTGAAAACATTTTTTTTTTAAATTCCACTTATCGGTAAGGGACAAGACTGATTCAATACTGATTGTAACTGCAAGGTCATCAAATGCTACCATTACCTTCCAATTTCAGCTTCTTTAAAAATATTAATGCAGGAAGCTTCAAGGGGTTTCCAAGCACAGTAAGGATCCCTTGCCAGAACACAGTCAACACAAGTGGTGTACTTGTCACAGAATGCCAATGGGGACTGAACCACACCAGAATTTGAGCCAGCAAAGAGGTATTTTCTGCCCTAAAGAAAAACAAACAAAGTAAAAAAAAAAAAATCAGAAAGAAATCACAGTCGATCACTTCATCAAAGCCAAAAACTCATTACATGCTTTAAGTATCATTAAAGAGTTGCAAACATTCAGCCATGTTTGTAAAAACTGGTGCATGAGGGGAATAAGTGTTTCATTAGCTTTTATTTCTAGAAACTTAAATTGAAAATATTGCAGCAGTGCCGGAAGTGAAAAAAAGACAACAAAAACCTGAAACAGATACAGTTTGTGACAATGGAAAACAACCACGTCTAACCATGGCTTTATCACACAGTTTTTCCAGAAATATGAATGCTCCAACAATCCTTCCATGAGGCAAGGCAAAATTGTGAGGATGACTAGGCTGCAGCAGGCACATGAAAGCCTAACCAGGCTCTTAGTAGGAGCTGCTCCTGCTAACCCAAAGCAGCCCTACTGCCTTCAGCTCCATCAACCAGCCAGGCCTCTGCAGCCACATCAGCATCAGCTTTATGCTTTTCAAGGAGGAACACTGGCAGTATTCAAAGGAAAACAGCACTGGCAAGACACCAAGGAAAAGGGGGACATAATCAGATCACCTATTGAACCATCGCTGCTGGGATCCCAAACAAGTGTCACTCTGACACAACAGGAAAAGACTCATTCCAAACACCCTTCCTATAAAAGGCAGGCAGCTGCCATATTTCACTCATCTGCTTGAAAGCTCAGGGAAGCTGATGGCTAAAGCTACACTGACTTCACATATTACAAGGTGAAGACTGAAGAAAGGGACCTGTGCTGCAACCCCAAACCACCAGTGACCAACCACCTCCTTTTTGAGAGGCTCTGCACAGAAAGCCAAGTGGCACACCCCACCTTGGCAGTGGGTTGGCTTCATCCTGAGCAGAACACCAAGTGGATTTATCAGCACCCTACTGCAGCTGTCACACCAAATGGGCCAGATCCAAGCACAGAGTGGCTTCTCCTGTACTGCAGCCACACAGATCTCAGTGCACAGAAATGTCCTCAGGAGGACTGCTTGACTCTGGCAGAACGAGCATGGTCACAAAGTGATGGGCAGACATCCAAGAAAGACTTCTGGTAGAGAAACATTCTTAAAAAAATCTCATGTTCATGGTGCAGAAGTTTTGTCTGGACATGAGAAAAAAGCCTCAAGAAAACAACTATCAGACTATCTTAGGGGTGAATTTAGGTTTTGGGGCTCACTGATGCTCTTTTGCTATGTAAGCAGGTTCTGCCATGAGAACTCAGAAGAGGTCAGTGTTTTTAATGCAAAGATCATGAGAAAGTCTCCAGAGGAAGCTACAAGACCAAGCACAAATTAGTTTGGATTGGTCTCATATATGAAGTGTGCAGACAGCTTTCAAGGACACCCTCTGCACTGGAAAACACAAGGCAGAACAGGATCAAAAAAGAATCTGTTGGAAGACTGGAGTTTGAAAGATAGTTGAACATCCATCCACATGCAGTCTTCCATCCTTAAGTCTAACCTGGACTATGCTGCACTGCCCATGGAAGGAAGTGTACAGTGCTGGAGATGTACTACCTTTTGGTAGTGGTACCTTTTCCTAGGAAGGGAACCACTCTGTCAAAGGCTCCCCCAATGCACAAAGCACTGTTATCTCTCTTGTGCTCCTCTAGATAATGCTGCCACATTGTGCATGCACTGTAGTGCCTCACATGTTTCCCAGCTCACACATCCAAGAGTTCAGGGAACATGCAGCAAGCTGAGAAGACCATTTAAAAAAAACCAAACCAGACACACCTTCAAGTCAAGCAGAAGATCTACTGTAGGATTGTCTGACTCTGCCCAGCACGTTAAACAATGTGGGAAGAACCTGGAAACTACTGAAAAACGTGTTCAGAAAGGACTGTGACTCCAGAGGGGTCTAAATCCCACCATCAGGGTAATTATTACCCTTCTGTGGTTAATCCACTACTATGGGATGCCATGACATGTATCAAAATACCAGCTCTAGGAAGGACTTCAGCAGCCACCGACTGTGGAGGCAGAAACTTGTGTTTTCATGCTGGGGAGCAGCATTAAATCCCTGCTTGGGTGGTACCACGACCATACAGCTTTCATGACTGGCACCTGACCCAATCTCCCACTCATCATCACTGAAAAGGACCCCTGCTTTTATGAGAATGTACTGGGCAGCACTGTTTCAGCTTTGGGGTTTAGTTTTGTGCGTCAACAACTACATCAGGAAGCAGTGTTTTGTTTCAATTCTAAGCTTTGAAAAGGCAGTGCATTCCCTATGCAGCCTCTATGCCATGATTCAGGATACTCTTGAGGAACTGAGCATGTGGCACCTGGACTCAGAATGAACACATGCAATGCCATTACTTCTACACTAGTCTTGGCTACCATGAAACTGCTACATCACATGTCTTTGGTTTAAGGCTATAATGCCCATCTCTTCCCTTGCACACCCAAGAAATGGAGGAATCATAACTAAGTCAGTGTATGAATGATCCCACAATGAGAAGAAGGGGAATTAGCATATTTATTAGAGGAGTTATCTATCCTTATCTTCTATCATAGGGTTTTCTTTGCAGATAAAGCAGAAGAAACCAGCAAATACTTTATGTATATATATGTAGACACACACACAATATACATCTACACACATATAGAGAGAGCTGCCAGTGTTATGCACCATACAAAATAATACAAACATCTTTACTGAAAACTATAAGCACGGAAGATTTTAATCCTGATTTTCATTTGTCCAGCAAAAATATGCTCTGTCCTCATGAGTTGTTCCTATTATAAGCATGAAAGGACAAATAAGTGTGCAAGCCAAGCTTGTAAAATTATGACATAAAGCTCTGTTCCACTGAGCTGATCATGTTGACATGCAAAGTTCTATTAAATACCACAGAAAAATAAAAGCTGTTTCAAAGATATGTTGGCAGTACTCCTAAATCCCTAAGCTGCAGAGAATTTATCTTTCACTGGGTAGCTACTGAATGCTGCTATTACTATCAGACACTTCAAAAGAGGCATTTAAGTCCCTGAAATCTCGCTGTCTGAGGGGTCTGATGCTACAAGTCACTGCTTAGGGCGGTGGAGAGGATTTTTCCTCGCAGATCTGCAATGGCCACAAGAGGTCGGGATTTTTACATTACTCCTAACCCTCAGTCTGGTATTCTGAAACACTTTACAGCTTTCAGCTTCTCCACGTGGAATCGAAGTGAAGATCTGCACACTCGTGCCCCCCCACCCCTTCCCCATGTCCACATACATTTAGAAGTTTGGCACCTACCAAACAGACTGAAATGCAGCAGGCGATATGTGATACTGCTGCAGTGCCATGAGTTACAAATGCAGCTTTTGGGCAGGTGCACAGTGATGGCCTCCTGTCACAAGGTTACAAAGTGGTACTTAAAAGGTTTGGGGAAGAACAAAAATGGAGATGAATGCTGTGATGCTCACAGCACTTACTGTTTTGGATGAAAGCAAGAGAGTCTGGACCGGTTCGAAATCTGGAAAAAACTGTGTTTCTTCAATAATATGCATTCCATTTTCATAGCTGATGGCTTTGTGCACGGCTCCCCGATCTGAAACAACAGCAATATGTTTAAGTAAGATCCTTAAAACAGAAAGGCAGGAAAAGAACCCTGCACAATTGCTTTAACTTGTCTCAGTAATCTGCTTGCTGTTCAGATGAAGACTTCATATAACTCTGTGTCAAAGGCAACCATTAAATTTGCCATCAGCAGGAGCTCTGAGCAAGACATAACATTTTGGCACACAGAACAACCACTTAGGGATTATCTTCTGTGTGTTTTTTGCTGCACTCATGCAGCTTTGCAGTTCTTTTCCTGCAATACCTTTTAAACGTTATGTTAAGACTGTCCACTTACTGTGGTGGCACCTTGCCCTTTAATGGAAACACCAGCTGCACAAGCACTGCAAACACGGAAATCTCAAGAGTTTCTCTTTGAAAACTAAAGAACCAGCGCACCCCTAAAACAGGGGTCTCCTGGAGAACTCACCTGTACCGATGAACATCACGTCATACATGGTGCCATTGAGTGCTCTGACTCTGTCCACCACAATCTGTGTGTACTTCACATCCTGCTTTACCAGCCGAGGTCTGTCTCCCACCGGGGTCACTGAGTCATCCATCAGAGGATGGTCTCTGACAAACTGCAGTGTCTTGTCTGGTAAATTCAGCGAGCTCATGTAGCTTGATCCTCCAGCTTCATGGTTTATACACTAGCAGGAGGACAGGGAGGGGGGAAAAAGAATCAAAACAAAAGAGACAATCAAATTATATCATTTACTTGTACAAAACAAAGACACAGCTGTATGCATTTTCTTCTCTGTATCACTTTGGCCAATAAACACACATTTATTCTATTGAGGTAAGTCCTCAGGGCTCGTAGCACTCCGGATTCTGTGATGTACTAATCCCTGTAGCCTTGGACTACATTTTTTTTGGGCTCAAAATACATTCTAGGAAAATATTCCTTCTGTAAGTCTCACACATTTTAACTGCTTTTAGCTGTCACCTCATTCAGCACCAGCAACAAGATGACTGTAAGGAACGTAAGGAAGTAAGAAAAGTCTGAAAGAGGCTGAGCACTATGAACATCTTAGTTTGTAGAGTAATGCACTGTGTTGGATAAACATGCTGAACCTACAGAGACAATGCAACAGTTGCTATACTTCTGTTCATTTGAACTCAAAAGTATTTGATGTTTCTAGTGTGTACATATTCTGTTTCACCAGCAGAAAATTACTAACAAAATAATAAAAATCCAAAACCAGTAAATAACTCAATTCTAAATTAAAAAGGGAAAAAAAAACCACTCTGGTTCCCAGATACAAAGTTCAGAACACATCACTTCACTGTTTTTGTACACTTTTTTGCAACAAGAAGTAACCAGGTAGGGCAAACAAATAATTCATTAATAGGTTACCTAATGTTTTCTAGTCTCTTTACTTTTGAGCATTAAAAAAAAAAGTCATCAGATCCAAGATTACACAAACTCACCGCACCAGGTCGAGGATTAGGGATCTCCCCATTGTATCGTACCCACTTTGTGTGAGCCTGTTCCACTATAGCACTCTGCATGTATTTTCCTTTTGAGAAAACCTCTTCTACAGTAGACAGACTGTATGCACACACTGCTGACAACCCCACGTTATTCCTAGAAGTTCAGGAAGAAATTAAAAAAAATAAACACCCCCCAAACAAACAAACAAACAAAAAAACAAAAACAAAAACAGGAGCAATTATTAGTTCTTGTAGTAACCAACTGACATTAAAGGTACTTACAGCTGTGGGGTGAAGACTCCATATATCACTGGCTCCTTCAAAGTCGGAGACTTGAGGATAAAAACATCATTGATAACATTGAAAATTAAATTCTTATCAGGGATGGTACAAATCAGTCTGGCCTTGAGAAAGGATGTCCATTTTTTCTGCAAGATCCTTAATCCTCCTTGGTCCCTCTTGTATTAAAAAAGATAAAAAGGTGTTTGTGAGGAGAACTACAAGCATTTTGGCATTTAAGAACCACTGTTATAGCACGAAATTACTAAGCTCTGTTATTTTCTAACATTTCATCTATAGCAACCACCAATAAATGCTAACAAATTCACAAACAACAGTAAGAAAGCCACAGGAAAACTGATTCAACAACAATAATGCAGAATTGTTTCTATCACAGATACAGGCAAGATAGAATATGAGAGTTAATGAAGACTTCAGCAACACTTGAAAAAACTGAGATGGGCAATGCACCATTAGGAAAAAGCTGTTTATTAGAACAAGTAAAATAAGGGTGGAAGTACTATACTGTCCCTTTAGAGAAATAAGTAATATTGCATTTTTTCTAAGACATCAAAACTGTGATTTAAATTCTAATGCTGCAATATGCCCTTAAACTTGCCTGACTTTGATAATTTCATTAGAAGAAATGCAGCAATGGTTTAGTCTTCCTGGCAGTTACCACCTTTATTCAGGATTTGCAGTACCAAGGCTTAAAGAAGTTAAGATACATTGACAAGAAATGCTCCAAAATATTTGCTAATCAAGCTGTAGCTCTGATACTCCACTTCAAAAAGAAGGGCATATTTGAAACTGCATTAATATTTTCCATTCATTATCCAAGGGTGTTATGCAAAGTATTAAAGGAAATCTGCAAAATTTATTAAAACAATTAAGCATAAATGCTTATGGATTTGCAACTTGCCACTGATTCCTATTTCAAACACAACAGTCTGAATTATATAATAATATAATAATGAAGCTCTCATATTCCACAACAATCCCCTTTTAAAGCATACACAAGCTGTCAGTGGGCAGAGGGTCATAAAAAGCCCAACATAAACTTGCCTCCAGCTCCTTGTTTAACAGAAATCTCAAGGGCACTAACTTTTCATTTATGTTTTGACTTCCATGTTTAAATATAAAACAGTGAAGTCAAAATAAAACTTTCAACCTCATAAAAACGAGGCAGGCAGATAAATTTCCTGTTGGAAAACAAAAAAAAACCTTGAGGAAATTGATACATTCCACTGAAAAAGTTTTTGTTAAATCAACGTCTTATACTGGGGGGAAAAAAAAAACCCAACTTCCATCAGCAAGATTTTCAACCAACACTCCTGAGGAAATACTTGAATCAGCCTAACCCAGTGAGGTTTAAGCACAGCAAGTGTGACACAATCAGGCTGCTGGTGACCATTTTCCTTCAGGCTCTGGCAGCTGTTAAGAGCTTCATAGAAGTCCCATCTGCTACACCAGAGCCAAGAACTATTTTGCTGTGGACACAGCTACAGCTCTGTTTGCATACAGATACTTGAAAGTCACTCGACAGACATCCTGTCTGCTCAGCTCAAACCAAAGTCAGTTCTTCACAGTACTTGTCAAAAAAAGAAAAAAAGAAAGGAAAGCCTGGGGAAACACTTTTTCTGTTGCTGGGTTTTGTCACGGTTGGTTTGTTTTCCCCCGGAGGAGAGAGAGGAGAACCCCCAGATGTATTGAAATTTCATAACTGTGCAAAATTAAGTCAAGCATTTATTCACAAAGCAACCATTAAGGCTTTCTCGGTTCTGAAGAACTGGCTGGAACTGCTGATTCACTAAGATTCGCTAAATTCAACCACTTCCAGTTAACTGGCAGTAAGTTCACAAAAATAAATGCTTTTTAACAAAATTCTAGTTGATGTAGTAATAGTAAATTGAACTATCTCCCACCTTGCAGACCCTAGCTATTCTTGGAATCATCAGTTTTCCAATACATTCATACTCCACAGACACCTCGGTGAAAAAGAAGTATATCTTGTCATCTTCTCCATCTGTGCTGTTTTGATCTGCTCTTATCACATCAGCAAAAACAAAATTGGGCTCTACAGACAGACACAAAGACAAGAATTTTCCATTATGTATGAGACTACTAACCTGATTCCCTCAAAGACCCTCTAGGAGTTCTCTTTCACCCAAAATCCACACTGAATTTACCTGCTCTCTAGTCACTGACCTCCCTACACAGTTTGTTGTTCATAATATGAATAGTGTTTCTCAAAAACAAAACAAAACAAAACAGGAACAGAAAAAAAAAATTCCCCAAACCCACAAATCCTAAATGAAAGCACTAAGATACCTGAGAGATCTCTGAAGTAATGAGATTATTACTGCACCATAATGTTCTTCAGCCCATACTCAAACATGGTTTTCTAATGGGCCTGGAGGACATGACCTCCCTTGCCTGCCTCCCCTCCATTTCAGCTACTAGCTGAAAGACTAAAAACAACATATTACAACATGTGTTACAAAACTCACTATCCTGTACTTTCTGGTTATGATGATCGTGATTTTGGTCCTTTTTGGCACAAAGCCTCAAACCCCTGAATGTTCGCAAAGCTCAGTGAATTCTGAAATTCAGGAGCTGAAATCACGAAGAACCACAACCAGCTCAATTTGAAAACCCATTCCAGACCAAAAACATTGCCCTTCCTTACTGTATCATAACTAAGCTGCATTATTGCAAAGAAGAACACGTAGATATAAAACAAACTGCAGCCATTATTGTCCAGAGTAAACCTGCATATCTTGAAGCTGTTTTCATTGTCAATGCTGACAAAAATCCTAAAACTTCAAAACAACATCTCTTGATGGCATGCTTGAGGGCACACACTCACATGCCAGGGTATGCCAGTATAACAAAATCCATTCTCTCTATTAGACAGTTGCTCTTTATACCCAGGAAAACTCTGTCAGTGTGGGGTTGAAGAAAGAAAAGTAATTTATCTGGGCCAGTTCTCATGCCCACTTACCATTAAGCCAAGGTATTGCATACTCTGTTCTCAGAGGGCTCTGATGAGAGTGCCGTGAAATAATGGGTTCACTTCCCAAGAAATTGTAAGAAGTCCCAGAATAAAGCTCCTCGTCTTTAAACACAAAACCAAATATTTTAGATCTTATGGACTGGATACCAAAAAGGGTACACAAATATTTTCTGAGTCTGTGCAAGCTTAAGCTTCCCACAAGAAAAGATAAACAAGGACTTCCTCTAAATTGCCCTGGACATGTATTTTATGTTTACATTTCTGCTGACTGTGCTGAAGCCTAACACTTCCACAGTGTGGTTTACTGATGCTCTAACACAAGAACTGATGAAATTCAGAGTAGTTTTTGTGGTACTTTAGCACGCAACACGTAAACCTACAGTTCATGTAAACTCATGTGAATTTACTTAAATTCATCCAAAGTTTGGAATTATTCTTCTCTCTTTCTATGCCACCATCATTCAAACTCAACTTTTAAAATCGTAGGCACAGTGCAGGGAGTTGTGTTTCTCATTTCCTGTTTCATCCTACGTTGAGCTTCTCTCATGATCTTGTGACACAACAGTAAATCCATCAACTCTGGTTCCCCCAGGTTGAGATTCAGGGGTGTCTCTCTATGCAGTTAGTCTACCTGCAATCAACATCTCACTTCCCTATTCTGTCTCATGGATAAGTCTTCAGGACAGCTGAAAAGTACCACTTGTTAAATTTACTGAAATTGCATTAATGGATGCTACAAGTGCAGCCAAGTACATTTAGACCACCTGGACTAAATACATTAAACACCTGAAAATACAGTTTGAAAATTAGTATTTTAGAAGTTGCTTCCAAAACAACCTGGAGTTTTAAGTTCTCCTTTAAAAAACACACTAAGGTTGACCAAATAAGTATTTTAACATCTTTACAGATACACAATAAAAGGAAAAAATATGGATGCAAGCTACCATTTTGACATTAACAAACTGGAGCATGACAGTGGAAAAGATACAACTTTTTTTATACATAAGAACGAGGTAGGCAAAGTCTGAACTTACCAACCATAACAGATGTGTAGCTTTGAGCAGGATCAAATGGACATCTACCCTTACCATCTTCATTTTTACCTCCAAGTTCAAATGAAGTTAAATTCTGCAAAAAGAAATCAAGTTGAAAACCACAAAACAACTGTTAGCACTTTTTCAGCCACTCAGCTCATGCAAAATTAACTGAAAACTAAACACTAAATATTGGGCTATATCATCAACTTCCAGCATCAGAGGCATTTTGTGTAAATTATAAAAGGCATATGTGTTTTTGGAAAATCTTATCAAGTCCCACAGACAGACAGGAAATGTGATCCTGTAATTTGTGAGGCCAAGAACAGAAAAGAGCAGAAGATGAAAAGTTAAATCCAGACAGACCTCAAGAAAAAGCACCCAAGAAAGACACCAGGAACAGCAGGGAAGTTAACTGATATATGGAAAGACCTGGCAATTATTGAATTAGCCTGAAAAAAATAGAGAGTCTCAGAAATCAAGAAGGCTTTCTGAAGTGGATTTAGCAATTTTTTGAGATTATGTTAAATTTGTGAGATAGGGCATAATCCAGCTAAAGCTTTAAAAAGCAACAGAGTATTTTGGCTGCTACTTTATAAATCCCTTAAAAACCAAGAGGATGAGGATCAGAAAGACGAACTGCAGCCACAGTACTGGGCAAGTAATCAGTTATACTGTGTAATGGAGACATTGGAAGCTAAGAACAATGGCTCCTGGCAATATTCCAGAGGTGATGGCTGGCAGACTTGCAAGCAGGGGAGACAAGAAGGCACAGCTACAAGATTTCTCAACTTTCAAATTGCTAAGAGCCGCAAGTAGGGAAAATGATACAGGAGTCAGCAGCGAGAAAAGGGAGTTTTAATTTTGTGCCAAGACTTCACTCTGAAGCATTCAGCACTAAGAATCTGTGGCATAGCCAGAAGCAGAGACAAAAGACAAGCAGAGACAGGAATCTGAGAAATTTCGGGAAGATCTGGTAATGGGTGGAAGTTACAAACAACGTAATTTCAGTTTCAGAAACTGCTTTTATGCTAACATACAATACGCAAAGAATTACAAAAAAGTAAATCTGCAGTTAGACAAGATGAATCAAGAATTCATTAAGTGCTCTGAAAAAAGGAACAGTACAGTTTATTTCCATACTCTACGGTGGGACAGTGCAACAAATGCTCCTAACCTTACAACCAGCACTGAAGCTACAACAGTTTTGGGAATGGAGATCAACTTGTCCTTCACTTGAGCTGCTTTTTAAGTTACACTTGTTGCTGGGTCAAAACATACATGGATTTCTTACCACGTAATCACATGTTGGCTGAAATGCATTAGTTCCACACACGTAGAGAAAAGTATCATTCAGCTGCTGCAAGACACGCACGTAGTTACGACACTCCGTCTGTAAGAGAGGATGAGGAGAGAACCAGTCTGATAAACCATGGCTTCCACAGTCCAACATAAACAGATGATGGTGTGCTGTCTGCTTTTCTGTTGCCACACACCAGAGAAGCCTGGGTGACACGTGGGTGACACTGGGGCACCATCTCCCTACAATCTCCAGGAGCTCTAATCAATCCTGCAGCGTTTGGTTTCCCACAGTCGTGTGCAGCTGCCTCAGTATCCTGTCAGGGTAGCATGACCAAGTAACATATACTCAGCAGGGTCCATCTCGAGATGTTTTTACAAAAGCACAAGGTCCAAACACACATCCAATCCATGGGAATGACTAGTTAAACACGGAGTTTTGGATTTCACCATCTCTTGTACACCTCAACGGAACACTGACAGTCAAAACCTGTAATTCCCCTAAATTAGCTATAAAGTTTTGTCACTTATTGCTGTCCTTCCATGCCCTGCCACCCCTCTCCCCCCCCCCCCCCCCCCCCCCCCCCCCCCAGTCTCTGTCTGATATCATCCAAGGAATCTTCTTAATTTCTCTGGCTTTGAAGCAGAACAAGGAGTTTGAGCAAAACCGTTAATAAATGATACCATAAAGACTCAGATTAATCACGAAGAAAAACAACTCTAAACACCCACTTAGAGAGGGGAAAAACCAGTATCAACAACATCCCTTAATTCTTGCTAGTATACTGCCAGACACCACCACTGAACTGTTGTTCTATAAACTTCTTAAGCAAGTTTCAGCACTGTCCTTGCTATTCCTTCTTACAAGACAAACTAGGTATTTCTGTGACTGTATGGCAGAAAACTGCAGGGAGGGGAAGAGAGTAAAACCAGTTTTCTGCCAGATGAGGTCCTTGAATGTATGAATGCTTTCTGCTGGCATTACACAGTATAGTGGTGATGGATGGGGGAGAGTATAAGAAATAGCAATAGTGGCTTAAAACCTTGACCCTTTTTAAACTACTGGACTACACAAAACATCACAGCTACAATAAATGTGATTACTAAACAGTCAGGAGTACAGTGAGGGAAAAGCATGGCCAGCAACAAGTGTGAGTTGCTAAACTGGGGACAGGGGAAAACGAAAAAAATAAATTTAGAGCTCTGAGAAAGCACCTCTTTGTGGGGTCTAACATACACATATGCATATATAAGAGAAACTCACATCTCACAGTCATTGTGGCTGTGAGTATTATCACTAGCAACCCCAACTGAACCTGGAAAACACAAATAACATTCTCTGACCCCATCCTGAAGAGGCAGCCAAGGAGGAAACAGCCCCTGAAATATCTGCCACACCTCATGTTTGGACAACGTGCTGACAGTCACCAGTGGAAGGAAAAGCAGTAAGCCAGTCCAAGGGAGGGCAGAGAGCCCACTCCCACCCTGAGCAGGCCCATGAAGGCAGAATGCCTATCAGCCCTGGATGCAGCACTTGGGGTTTTGTAACAGCGTGAAATGAGGAGGCTGCAGGTTTAAGGGTCACATCCCTGCAGCTGCAGAGTAGGACTGCTTTCTGCATTCACAGACTTGCAGGATTCTACTTTCAAACCTGTGCTAAAAGCCTGACTGACAGTCTTGCCCAGCAAACCCTCGCTCTGCCATACCATTAAATGAAGTGGTTTCACACCAGGGGAAAGGTACATCCACATACATTCAACTACCTCGAGTAAACCACCTCCACGGAGAGGGAAAACGAGCAAGCCAGACCACACCCTGGCAGTCATGAGGAGTCAGTGGTTCCTAGAAACACCCAGGGATCCCAGGGGCTGAGCCTGCCTGCACTGCCAAGCTGTCAGGAGGTCAGGCTGCTTAGGTGCTCTCTGGGCAAGGAAGGTGCACACCCACTGAGCACCACAAGGGGACACAGAATGAGTGAAAAAAAAACCCCAGACACCTATGCCCTAAAGCAAAGCAAACGAAATTATCAGTCATTCTGTAAAACCAAATGCTGGGAAGGAATTACTGCCACGGCAAAACACAACAGTGGCTATCAATTACTTCAGTGAAAGCAATACTGTTTCAGCGTTTTAAATGGAAAACCATTAAAACCAGAGCACACATCAGGGTGTGTTCAGATTTTCAGGCATTCAAGTAACAGTCACCAGCAAAAAATAATGATTTAAAAAAAAAACAAAACAAAAAAAAATAAAAACAAACAAACAAAAAAACCAACCAACCAATCAAAAAATCCCAAAACCAACCAACCAACAAAAAAAAAAAACAAACCAAAACAACCCAAAACCAAAAAGCCACCAACCTAGGTATGCTGCAATTTTGCAATTTCTAATGCTCAAGTTAATTTAGAAAAACTGGGCGATTATTTCAACACTAAATTTCAAACAATTGCATTCTTTCTTTTTTTAACATCACTTCTCTTGAAATGCAATGTGTAATATCTTCGCCAAAGTTCAATAGAAGTACCTGTTCTGATTTGCCCTTGACTGCGCATTTTGTCCTTTTATCTTCTGCGGCCTTCCAGTGTAACTAAGTGAAAAAAGAAGCAACAAAAAGGCACATTCAAAGTACTTTAATTCAATACAAGATCCGAAAATCTTGCAATAACACACACACACACCAAAAAAGGCAATCCTAAAACTGTCTGCAGCAAGTGCAAGTTATTTATTTTCCCAGTAGTTTTCAAAGGTTCAAAGCCATTCTTTCCCAGGGAGGTGACAGTTTCAAATTCATGTGCCTTAAGCAGGACTAAACTACTGCTATTATCTTTTGGGTTCATAATGATGACTCCCCTCAAATTGCTAATAAAGTTTTCATTACCATATGCATTAGGGAGATGCAACCGTAACTGTTTTAAGTATTTTCAATTTTAAATGCTTCTCAATTTCTTTAACACTTGAATTAAAAAACATAGGGGAGAGGAATCAAAGAAAACTCATTGGACCAATTTACACTACACTGAGTACAACTTTGACAGCTACATGTACCCATTAAACAAGTTTTATATGCTGGTGACATTTCCCACCACCATCCATGAATATGTTCTTCAGATTAAAGATCATATGAGCATCTTCCAAAGCATGCTGGGTGGGACTCCACGCTGCACCTCTACGTGTCAGCCTGTGCTGCTGATGGGATGAGAAGCAGGAGCCTGGGAAGGACTGGAAGCAATACGTTAGCAGACTTCTGCCTGGCTAATCTACTCTGAGAAGCCACCGTCAGCACATCCAAAGTACCACCTCTCTGAGCAAGCTGGATCAGACCTGTCTGCACCACCTCTTGCTGTGCAGACATACCCAGACACAAAACAGAAGCTCAGACTCAAAGGACGGGGCCATTATTTGCAGCACATCTGCAGCCCGCCACTCCTGTGCTTCTGTTTCAGATTAGGTGACCCTCTGATTCAGATTAACAACATGTGGCCCACTCCTGATAGTAAGGATATGGGTAAGAACCACCATTACAGATGACACCTGAAGTCTCTCCAGTCCAGCATCCTGCCCACAAGAAGGAAATACCCAAGGATACCTCTAATTACTTGTTTATATCCAACTTCTCCTTTCTTCCTCTCTTTGGCTCTACAGCATCTTCCAGAAATAACACTGGAGTAGCCCAGTGGTTTCTCTTTTAGGTACCTGCTACCTCAAGTGCAATGCTACTGATATTAGGCAATTAAGTCAAATTTGGTGCATGATTTTCACATGGGGGATAATGTATTAAAATGCATACCTCGTGCTGCTTCTCAGCAATATTCACTGCGTTTAAGGCAAAGATCACTTCCCTGGCTCCTACATATAGAACATTTTTGTCTTCACTTAACAGCAAGGTTGAATAGTTTGACACTTTTGGTTCATTAAAATGTATTAGCTGGACCTCTGTTGAAATGGAAAAAAAAAATAGCACCACATGAAGAAACACAATCACTTGGGTTCAAGCTTATGAGTCATTTTTTCTAAGTTGTCTAACAGCTGTTGGATGATTTGAAAACAATAAAGGTTAGTTCAGAAAACCCATGTAGAAGATGAGGGACCCCTCAGAAGCTTGATTCAGCAGAAACAGCAGCTCCCATCATAAACATCAAAATGACTTGTCCCCACTTTCTCACTCAATGTCAAATGCTTAAATATTTCCTCACGTGGTGAACCCTATAACTCACTTCTTCCTTTATTTTTTTTTCCTACCTGCTTTTTCTACACTTTAATTTTCCACATTCACTATCAGGTCCTTCCTCACCTTTTCCTTTCCACATACCAACCTACTGTGGAAAATCAGGTCAGTCACCACATCCCTTGCAACCGCCCTGAACAAATCTTACAAAATATCCTGCACCTTAAGATGATGCTTCAGCATCCTGTCACAGCACAAAGAAGACACAGAAGCTAAAAAGAGAACATTTATAGGTGGTCAATAAGCTGACTGTGAAATGAAAACCAGAGATGAAATGCATACAATAGAAGGAAACAGCATGAGGGAAAAATCAAGATGAAAAGGAAGAAGATGAGAAACAGAGTGAGACATGAGAGAAAAGGCAGTGGAATGAGGAAGCTTGCAGACTGGACCAGAATAGCTTGGAGAAAGATGACACAAACTGACTAATATAAAAGAATGGGGGTTTTCTGCATCTACAACCATAATGGAAAAATGAGACTACCATAAGATTAATTAGGCATGACTTTTTAAGATACAGATGAAAACAATGCATTATTGTTTCCAGTTCTAACACAAGTAATTGCACATTTTCAGCTACAGTACTCAAGAAACATTAATTTTAAACTAGATTCTCAAGCATGTAATTTTGAAATCTTCTACTTGGCAGGAAGATTTTCCCTAAACCAAAAATTCCCTCTCCTATTGAGAGCAGGTTTCCAATATTTAAATGCAACAATCTTTAGCAGACAAACAGAGAGAAATAGCAGGAATGAAAATAAATTCCATTTATTTTGATTAATTTGGATGTGGGTCTGCAGTACATTACTGTACCATTAAACAGCAACTTGCCAAATTTTAACTACTATAAAAGATCTGAGCATCAAAGAGTCAAAGGAACTACAAGCCTTGTCCAGGCCACTGTTTCTGAAAAGCTTCATCAGCAACTACTAATTGCTATGCCAATAATCAGGAAAAACACTTCCTACAGTCATCTCATAATCTGCTTATTCCTACTACATTCTTAATCTCCATCTATCTCTTCCTATAGTAGGACTCTCAGAATTTAATACCCTTATTTTAAGGTTGCTTCTTCACATAGCCAATCTATTTGTTTGGCTTTGTTCAGTTACTGCACAATTGTTGCTTACTAATTGGGGAGTAAAAAAGGATCTAAAGCATCCATGCCACGTGGAGGGATGGCAGGGAGCAGGGAGAAAATGGGAAAAAAAATATATATTCCCAAACAGCAGCAAATAACTACTCCATAGTCCTTGTTTTAGAGCTCTTTTCAGACTCAGGTTAAATTATTCAGCCAAAGGCTACATGATCCTCTGATTCCTATTACTTCTCCTGGCACCCCATTTGCAGACTCCTGTAACTGTATTGGAAGGTCATGAATATTTGCTGCAACTTCAAATACGAAAAAAGCGGTGTTCTGTGAAAGATTTTTTCATATCTAAGCACCATATGATGCTGTCAGAAGAAGGCCAAATGCCTGTTTTTCCTTTGCTTGGTGATTTATTTAGTGCACAGGTTGGCTTGGTGTCAAAATACATCTCAGATTGAGAAAGCATAAAAAAAGATTATTAGCTGGAGAGGGGCACTTCGCTAACATGTTCAGACTCAGAGTAAAAATAATTTGTTTTAAACAAAATACACCTATTGGAGTTTTCTCTTGAAGCAAACTTCAGCTGCAAGACCATTCTGCTGAGAAAGCCAAATGTGGAATTCCTCCTTTAAAGAGCTCTATTTTCAGAGATGCTCAAAGGACCTGAAATCAGTTAACCCAGTGACCAAGTTATTTTTGAATGTTCTGGTCCCAAGCACCTCATAAACTGTGCAAAGCCAGCAGTACCTGACCAAACTCACAGCAAATAGGCCGAAAGAACACAGGGCTTCAAGGAGTTTCAGACCCTACAGAAACCCTGGCGTTGTGGAAATGTCCCGTATTACACTGCTTAAATCGCTGTTCTTACCTCTGTGTTCCCAAGTGATCCTCGGGACCGGGCCAAACGCTATTGCTACCTCCAGCAACAAACCCCAGACTGCATAAAAAACACACAGAGCCATTTTCAGCGTCCTTGCTCCGCGGGGTTCGCTGGACAGGCGCGGCAGGTGAGCGCTCCTTCGGCAGACGGAATGCAAATCCCAGGGAATTATCAGAGACCGGGCATTTCAGACCTTGAGGGGCTGGAACAACTGCAGCAAGTACGTGCTTTCCAGCAGATCACTTCAAGAGAACGCACATTTTCCAGGATGCTGCGCACAGGAACTGCCCACACTCTCCACAGGCTGCAGAGCTGCTGAGAAAAGCGCGACCGAGCGCATTCTTCTGTTTCGAGGGAGAAATGAACGGTGCTGTGGAGAGAGAGGAGGGGAGTAAGAAGCAGAGGAAAAAGCAAACCAAATACTGCCAAAAATAGCACTGATCTTGCGGTATCTCTACAGCTGTCTGCACAGCTCAATTTGGATTAAAAAAAAAAAAATACATTAATTGATGAAAATAATATTTTTTGAAAATGAGACATCACACGGCAAATAAGCAGCAATTGAAAGGAGTCATTTCAATCCAGAACGCCAAGTACAAATATTCTGAATTTTCAATTATGTTTAATGCACAAAATCTGACTGTAGTTTAAGTTCAGAGAGCAAAGGACATGAAAAGTGCAGCATTAATCCTAAGCACTGGTGACACAAACCTGCTGTGTCTCCCATCCTTGGGATCCTACACAAGTGTCTTTTTTAGTGGTTTTCTAATGCTACTAATTCACTCAAGCAATACAGCTACAGAAACAAAGAGCTAATGCACTGCATACAAAAATAAAGGGAGAAAACACTGAACTAGGAAAAGTGCTAGACAGTTCTGTGAAAGTCACTCTGTCTGAGTCACCCATTACTGTCAGGCCCAGAAAGGCCTGTCCACTATAATCAACAAAACTGTTCACTGCTTTCTACATCACTTTCCACAAGTCTCCACTGCTCCTGTTTTCCTACAACCCCTCCTAGGTGAAGGCTCATTAAGCACCTAGCAGGAGAAGTGAGTGCATTAATCAATTACTAGATTACAGATAACTTTTGAGGGCTGTACACTCAGGGCAGGGTGGTGGAGAGAAAAGCACACTGTCCTTTGCATCAGGGCACGGAAGATGCCGGATTTTCACCGTGCCATTGCCTGGGAGACCAGCACAGCACCGCTAAGAGACGTGCCACAATCCAAGACAGTCACAACACCTAGAGGTGATCCAGCAAGAGGGCAATCAAAGGTTACAAAATCATTAGTAACATTAAAGAGGAAGGGGCCAGTACTTGAGGAACACAGAATTAAAAAGACTAGGGTGAAGCTGCAGCAAGGACATCTCCAAGCACAAGCAAGCCTCTGGGAGGGAGAGGTCCCAGGTTCAAGCAGGCAAAGGCAAGCTGGAACCTCTGGAAAGTGCAGCCAGCAGATCCACAACAAATGCAGAAGTAACACAGCTGAGTAGACAACGGGCAACGACATCTGAAGTGTTTACACCTGATTTACTAAATGATCACAGGTAAGATTAAAAGATTTAAAAATCTTTGTCCACCAAGAAAAAAACCCCCACAAGACCACCACTTGCTCAAGCTGAACTTGTGGCATAAATATTTTTTTGTGGGGTTTGTTTTGGGTTTTTTTGTTGTTGTCGTCTTGGTAAGCAGTTCAGATCAGATCCAATTGTTTGTAGCAGATCATGTATATCATTTTGTTTTTTAAGGCATTATATTTTCAGTTAAGCTGACTAGGCTTGTTTGTCTGTCATTCACTCTTCCTGTTTATCATGATACATAAGCAATTCCACGTTTTGCTCTCCAATATATTAAAAAGTGCCCACTCAAAGTTACAAGGTATCACATAACATATTCTGTTTAAACCCACAGCTTTACAGGTAAGTGTTTAAAAGGAAATAGCAGTTCAGTGATTAAGTTCAAGGCAGTTTGGCAACTTTAATAGAGATGTATGGGGGAAAACAGCAGTTTGAAGAAAGATCTTTGAGCCATTATTTCTACGCACTCCTAATTCTTTATTTCCTGCTACCTTTAGTTACTGAAAAGGCTCCAGGTAATAATTCCCTGTTAAATCTGTGTGTTGTTTTTATTACTAAAAGAGACAGCCAGGACATCTATCAGCTATCAGCTACCACACGGTAGAGATGACTCCAGAATAATTCTGAAGTCCTGTAAATTTTCTGGACTTTAAAACAGGACTAGCAAATCCGAGCCCTACCGAAGGATAACCCTGAGTTTCCCTGCAGCCACGGTTACATTCCTAGCCTAGTTCACCCTCCTCAGACAATGCAAAAGCACAGGGAAACCTGAAAAAAATGACAGCATCTTTTGAAGAAGACAAAAGGTCTGGCTGGACTGCTTAGCACCTACTTTGCTGTGTGGACTGAGAATTGCTCTGGCCACACAAAGTAGAAATCTGTGATTTCATTCCTACATTATGGCCTTGCAAGACAGGTCCTTTTTTCACATTAATAAGTTTGACTTATTAAGTGGGACATTATTTGTTGATCTATGGTAAAATTTTGCATGTTATAAAAGGGGTGAGACACACTACAGTGAATGTTACATGCCCAATTGTGCAAGATTTACTTTGTTCTCATTTCTATGACTTTAAATAGAGATGAAAAAGCACTCAGGACCTTGTCCTTTAATTTAGCCTTCAATTTAATTACTCTCCCTTACCCCTCCCTTCCCTGTGCTAAAAATTATCCTCCACTGACATCTAATGGGAAGTCATCCATAATCTAATATGAACCTCTTTTTATGTAACACAAGGGGTAGAAAAAGGAAAAACAGAAAAAAAAGGCCCAGACAATGGCCTGATTTCCAAATTAACTCAGTTCCATTAGTGTTCACTGGCTTTGATTAGATCTGAGTGCTTTGCACTTCTGAAAACTTGGGTCTCCTAATGTTTTAAGTTTTACTCCGAAAAAAGAGCCACAATTTGCTTGAACATAAGAACACTGAAAAAGCAAAGCAGAAAGAAACCCGAAATGCTTGGTTAGACACTTAAACTCTAATTGAAAGTGACCACAGGCCTACTTTTCTGTAAAACCGTTAACAACTTTCTGAGGTAAATTTAAATCAGTAATTTTAGTTTACACACTGGTGACGATTTTATATCAGCGTGTAATGATGAAGGGCAGCAAAATAATGTACATCACTTGCATGAGTTTTCCATAATGCTTGTGCCTGTGGTGGCTAAAAACAGGGCAACTATAGAAGGAGAAACAATCAACAGAGCTCCTGTCAGCTTGTCAGAGCACAGCTGGAAGCTCAGAGCTGTGAACATTCACATGTATAACTTTAATGCACAGGCAGAGAAACAGGTAGAGCCAACTTCCTGCTCTCTCAAAGGACAGAAAATCAAAGCTGCTGGAAAAATTTCAGGCTGCAAAACTGCTAATAAGTAACATTAGCACAAATTATGAAAGCACAGAGTTGAAATGGCATATTATTGACTGTTACCAAGATCAAAAACACGACTCTCACATTGCCTGTGTCACTGGGCAAAGACAAAGTGCTTTGCTCTACCTTCTAGAAAAAATGTAAAACACTAGCCCTGCAGTGGGAGAAGCTGAAAAACCAACAGTGGGAAGGAGACTGCCATCTTCACTTCACAGAAGTACCTGTGAACATAAAACTTCATCTTTCGGAGATGTCAATTCAGCAACCCTTACCAACACCCGACTTTTTTAATAGGTAATTCAAACCAGAGGCCAGTGTCTTCTATCCCAGTCAGCACGGTAAAACTGGATCCAAGATTTGTATGCACAAATCTTGCACAAGTTATCTAAATTCTGGAATTTCAAAGTTAAGAAATGACCAGTTTCACAACACTGGTTTTGAAATAGTCTTCCTTCTAAGAAACACTTAGTTGCATTGTGCAACTTCTCAGTTTGGCTCGATATTACACAAACTGCTAAGTGGATCTATCTTTATTTTCTATATGAAGGTTAAAAACACAGGAGAATTCACTAACATACCAGCAGCAATCAGCTCTGCAGCTGGGATCCCTGTGATTCCCAATAAATTACCATGACCATCACAGAGCATCCCACCTCTCCCTGCAGAAAGCCAAATGAGCACTGGCCCTCCTGGCCCAATTCTGCCACTCTTTTCAGGATTCCCCAAGCCATGCTAAGTGTTCCCATCGTTTTCCTCCCATTCTCTTGCACTTTATTCTCCTCCACAGGGTTTATCTTCCCCTGCAATCCCTCACCTACTCTCTGCTTCTGCTCCCAGCCATGATCTCACCCCATCCTCTTCCCCAACACGAGCAAGGTGCAACTACGTGACCACGGGTGATGCAAGCCCTTCTGCCAGGCAGAAGACCACCTTCCTTTGGGCTCTAAGGAAGGCCCTCTAAAATATGTACTACTTCCCCACCTCTCCATCAAATCACTTTCACACCACTCACTGGTTGTCCAGGCACAGCAAACAAGGACCTCACAGTAAGCAACAACCCAACTGCAAGACACCCTTCCTTCCCCTACTGCCAGGAGTAAAAAAAAAACCCATGGCAGGTTTATCAGGCAGCCCTACCCTGCTATTTTTAGAATAAAAATTTAAAGATTATGCATTTGCAAAACTTGTATGTTACTATGATGAGGGATATGAAGCTCAATATGCAGAGGCAGGCAAATTTATGAGCAAATTGCTTCCTCCAGCAGAAAAAGGGAGGGGTTAAAGGATTCAACTGTCAGAGGGCATAAATTGCAAGTTCTCCTTAAATAACTTTCTTTTGAAAGCTTATGAAGCTTTAACAGAATACAGGCCTGCTTCTATGTTTATTGATACCTATTTTATAACCTCTGAGAGCTGAGTTTTATTTACAAAGTTTGTAAATTTCAGACCAGTAAGGACAGGCTGGATATATCCTTTGTTTTAGTTCTCACCCTTTCAAAACCCCAAGCACCGTGACATTTTTAAACAGTCTCATGAAAAACATCATTATTTACAATCTTTTCATTACAGAATACATTAGGACTCACCTTCTGCTGAAGTAAGGCACAGCCTCAAACTAGCAGACCAGTAGCCCTTTATGACTAACATATACGTAGAGCATGGGATTATTTACATTTCAAACTGTAACTGAAACACTTTGTAGTTGCTAGGTGCTTTAAAAATTAGACAAAGATTTTTAAGATAATTTGATGTGGTCTTTATTTCTACCTGCTGGAGGATGTGCTCTAGTGCAAAAAGAGGATAAAATTTCTTAGGAAAATAAGATTCTCAGTTTCAGTCCAGAAATTAGTACTTTCTGATTCTGCATGATAAAAATGCTTAATCAAGCAGTACTCAGGAAACTAATGCTTGTGCTTAAAGTAGATAATATCTTTATCTTCAGTGGAATATTTAAAGAGAGACCTTTTTTTTTTTAACTCACATTCCTTTTCTTTTACCACCATGCTCCTTTTCTGGGGGTGAAGATTACACAAAGATAAAGTATTACGCAAAAAAAAAAATTACAAGACCAATAGGAGACTAAAATTCTTAATTTTCAGATTACTAGGGGTAGATCATTAGAAACAGGCTTCAATTTCAAAAAGCAACAGGAAAAAGCTAACTAACTTGGATGCTGAGCTATCCCAAATACAGAATTCAAGAGCTCCCCAGGGCACGTTCTAAGACCCTTTTCTGCCTCGCTGGGTACTCCCAGATATCGACCCCGGGTTGTGACAGTGTCATTGCTGCACTGAAAACTACTCAAATGAGCAAGAAATAAACTCCCTAAAATTCCAAGTTCATATTCCCCTACCACTTAAACATCTGACTGCCACAGTCAAAAATATTGCTCAGTTTCCTTCTCATTTCTTTTGGGGCTCATAGGACTGCGTGAGTCATTCCAGTTATTTGAAGATGCCTACTGGCAACTACTGGCACTTGTGAAAGTACCTCCATGTTTAAATTAACAGGCACGTGTGCTTTAAAAAAAAACAAACTATCCCCAGTGTCCAGCAACACTTCCAGAGCCACATATCTCCAAAAGCAAGCCCAATAGCCCCTCATAACACCAACTGCATAACACAGAGAAGCTGCAATCCTGAACATGGCCATTCAGTGGTAACTGAAGAACAGGTAAATTTACAGTATGTTTCCAAGTGGAAAAAGTCCCTTTCCTGCTAAGTTTCTTGAGTATTTTGGTCGTGGAGCAAAAGAAAGCAATAAATCAAGCTTATAATAAACCCCTTATTTACATTTTTCAGTATGTTCTAAGTCCCTAGTTTTCTCACAGTGTCTTATTTGTTTTGCTAACAAAGACACCCATAACAGAGTCACCATGAATCCACCACAGTCCCCCTTCTGCTGTGGGGCTGTACCTTTAAGTTTCTCTATACGTACCTGCCACCCCTCTGGAGCCTCCAGCACAGCCGGGAGCTGGGAAGCAGTCAGAAACACGTCCCTTTCTGAGAAGAGAGAAGAAACAGGCCTTGACATCATTACCACATAAACCTGAAGGGCAAGTTCTGATATGGGAATTATAATAAATCCTCCCCCAAAAGTTTGGCTTTTACTTCCCAGATTACCAGGGCAGACCATTCCTGACAGAAACCAGACACGCTACATTTGCATCCCACGATCCAAGATCCTGACATCGGACTTAACACAAAGAAAAAATATTAAGCAGACCTGATAAAAAGCATACACATCAACCCTTTTAAAATTTAATTTGTTGCTCCTATCCCAAGCTGCCTGACCACTACTCAGTACGAAATTATTCAGCATTTGCACTGCAGTAGCAACTACTGATACTGGTTAAGAGTCTGGGACCCTTCCTATGGTATGGGATGTACTAGAGAAAGTTCAGAAAGGTTGCAAACCAGTCAGCCCCACAAACAATTCCCTTTACTAAATCTATATAAAGAAGCTCCAACACTCTCCTGCATTATTGAACAACAAGCTCAGAAAAGAATATCTGGATATTTACGACAAAACCTTGCAGGCTTGTACTTATTTTGTTGTTATCATAAGAGAACAGTGGGCCACTCCAAAACAATCATAACTGGGCACAATGAGGCATTTATCCCAAGACTACTGTAGGTAACACACTTCTGAATATGCACACTCGTAATACCATTACATCAGGCTCTATTTAGCATATATACTTCCTACTGTTCATCCCAGAGCTTCTAGAAGGGTGTGAGCTATGTAAAGAGATGGTGCTTTTTAAAATACAAGTCACTGTGGGTTTGAAGTAGATTTCACTCAACAGTATAAGGGGTTCTCAGAGATGCAGGTGGGAAGATGATGCACCTAAAAAAAAAAAACAAACCGGTCTCCATTGCACATGTGAAGGCTTCATTCTTGATCCAAAAAATTATAATGGCTCACAAGACAGAGGCTCCGTAAGAAACAGGCCAAGGAAAATTACAAGAAACAGCTCAATACTGCAGGGTCTCTGAGGAAAGGGAGAGCCCATGCAGGGTCTTTTTCAGAGTCCTTCAACAGTGCATGTTTTGTGGCTACCAGTGCAGTAGCAGGTATCAAACAGCTACATCAAACCCAGTTTTGCTTTAAAACAGTATTTTCAGCTATTTTCTGGGTCTTTTGTGCTATAGAGAAGGGAATCTAGTTTGATTCTCCCCACAACCCTTTTTCAACAAAATACCCCATGGAAATTCATTGCCCATCTATGTTATTACCCACCACCTATTTTTCACAAGCACTAGGAGAATATAACTTATTTTTGATCTCAAAACAACCATCCACCTTTCATTCTGCTGGAGGAAAAAAACCAGAGCAGGCAAACTGCAAATCATCTGACCAGTTATGAAGCTCTCCATGAACCAACTTGCACTAGATCATATCTCTATGGCTCTACAGCTACTCAGTATTTAAGTGAACAGTTAAAATTTACCAAAAATTGCAGCTTGCCACGAGAGGCCATCAAACAATGCAGTCACTATTGCTGCTGGAGTTTTCAGATCCTTGTGTGTTTCCTTATAGCTTACTGCTTGCAGAGGGAACTAATAATCATCTATTTTAGCTGCAGATACCTTAAGGGAAAAAAGGAAAATTCTCTTTTGCCTCTCTGAGAAAGGACTTCTAGCAGCCCGTGGCTTGTAGGAGCACTTTCATTGTAATGAAGCACTTGCATATAAATGAATAGCTACAGTAGGTGTGAAACCCCTCGCAGCAAATTAGCTGACCTGTATATACTTTATTAGAGATTTTCAAGTCTGCACAAGTGGCTCCACGTTTGAGCTAGGGTTTGAGGCCACTGAGGACCTGAAAGCCAGGTGGACACACAGCTGGGGCCCAGACCAGCTCTCAGCCAGTCCCTGGATCTCTATGGAGATGGGGAGAGGCAGAAGAACTACCAGCACTTCCAAGCCGTGGTACGTCAGCTCAAGAACTCCGTGGCCAAGAGCAATCCATCCCTCCTCGGTGTGGTACCTGGGATGGTGCCACTAACCATTGGTGTTTCTGGCAGAGAAGCCCACGGACATGGGGCTGGGTGTGAGGGCAGCTGGGCTAAGCAGAAGGGTGGTTTGCAAGCAGGGGCTGATTCCTCTCCTTTGATCAGACTGCCACTGCCTGCTTGTCCGGACACCACCTGTAGTCACGCTACACACATGAGTAACTACTCACAGCTTGCCAGAAGCTCTGACATAATTGAGCCCTTTAATCCAAGCAGGACTTGAGTAGGAAATTAACATTCATGTAAACCCTGCAGATTGGCAGACATCCTTCGGGTCCCTCTTGTTTGACCTAAGCCTCACAGGTGATCCCGTACAGCAGGCACTGTAGGCACTGCTGGGCTCCCAAACAAACCTTATACCCTGTCAGGTTTTAAGAGCACTTCAATATAAACTTGAAGGGAAAAAAAAAAAACCAACAAACTACTTCTTCTGGTAACAATTACTTAAGCTTGGGGGGGGAGAAATTACACCAAGAACTGCTCGTTATTTTGACAGCTGTGACTAAGTCCTCAAAGATTAAAGAAAACACCTACTGGATTATAAATGAAAGACAACCTGGAATACATTAATGTAGAATAAAAGGATAGCCACCTTAAGGAAATTTTTCATAAAAGATCCACAATCCTTCATATATGTATGTGTGCATATACTTTATTTATTTGAAGACCTTCTTCTAATCTGTCAAATTCCAAAGTACATTAATCTATTGTAAGGTACTTCTGGCTGTCACATCCTACTTGTATTAAAAGTAAAGAAGAAATTCAAAGAACAACACATAATATGTACTCCTTTTCCTTCTGCACATCAATTACCATCCAGATCAGTAGCATTTCTTTCATTCTGTATTCAAACATATGCCTGCTGTAACCAGATCCTAGTGATTCTAAATGAAGAGGAGAAGAAATGCATGAAAACCATCTTATAAGCAAATTTTCTTTACTCTGAGAACTCTTTGGGAGACCATGGAGGCAAGTTTTAAGTTTGAGAATGTTTCTACTATCCCAGCACTGCACACAGACCTTACTGAAACAATTTTGATAATCAAAACTAGAGGTATATTTGCTACCCAGAACTAAAGTCAGCCATAATCTAAGTGCACTGGCTTTCTCAGAAAAACTATTTTAAATACTTACATGGAAGCCACAAACAAAGCCAATGTACAGCTATGAGTAACTAAGGCTGCACACACTGCCCACAGATAGTCTGTCACTTAAAGAACTTTCCTGTAAATGCTATGTGTGGTTTTAGTGTGTTAAAATAATTGCACAAAAAGGTAGGCCAGACAACAAGAACTGTGCAGAGTACCAGTACTATTTTTTAGTAATTGGTCTGACATACAGAATATACAGAAATAACTGCTGCTGACACTGTCACCACCTCCACTGCTCCCACCCTGTCTGGACGGGGCTGGTGATTTTATCTGCTTAACCCCTGTGCAAGACACTGTGGAGGAGGGAGATGGGGTGGGGTGGTCAAGCAACAAACACACCACAGGATTTACAGAGCAAAGACTCAAGTGTTTTCCCCCTTTCCTGCCTGCAAAGTTTCACTTTTCAAGGAAACATCTTTATTTCACAGAACCATGAACTGGCCTAGCAACATCCCTCAACTTTTTCTAAGCATTACAGGAAAAGATGCGTGAATGAGCTTTAACCTGCAGCAGGGGCCCACGCCAAACCCAGTTCTGAAACAACAAAGCAGAAAAGCCCTCTTATGTCTCACACAGTCACTTCAATCTAGCCCAAAGTGTGCTGGCATCTTCAGCTTTCAATTCCCCTGACACTCCTCAGACCTCATAAGCACCCTGAAAAAAAGCCAAAGACAACATGGAGACTATCATGAAGGCAGAGAAATGTGAATTCCTTGTGTGTCCCAATGGCAAACTACAAATATCAAGGTTGGGCCACCTACTGCAGAGATGGGATTTCCTCCAATTTTAAGGATATGAAGAGATTCTGTAATCAAGCAACCTAACCTCCATAAAACTGAACAGGAACATTCATGGTACTATCTATGCATCCCAACCATTCTTCAGGAAAGGATCTGAGTGTGTTTCACAATTCCAACTTTCTTCCAGTTGCGTTACAAATATCAACACAGAGTTATTTCAATCCAAAACACAGTAGTGGTTCTGAATCGAATTCCAGCAAAAACAGAGAACACTCAACACAACTGTTTGAGACCAAGAGCCACACAGCATGAGCGAAAAGGAAGGAGGATGAACATCTGCATAAAGGAAGTAACACTCTGGCTTCAGATTGAACTTTTTAAACAACCACTTCATGGACATGTAAAATTTTTATGTACCTGCACAGCATTTGGTAGGGAAGGAAATGTTCTTTCAGAAGCAGCATTAGAATATTTTGGTCAATAAACAACACAGTCTTTGAAGAGCAGAGATCACTGGGAGCACTTCCATATTCAACAATTTATTTTATTTCCACAAGATCAATACAAAGGAGACAATTACCTCTTCTCTCATCATAAAATCCAATATCATCCAGGTCTCCTTTTCCTTCTATCAGAAAAGGAACAATCCTGAAAACTAACTGCTGGTTAAAAAAACCTGAAGAAGAAACAGCAGATGATCCTCCAAATCTTACTATAAGTATTCAGTGAAAAGGAGCAGAAAACAAAGTCTAAATTCTGCCTGTATTTTTTGCTAATGTTCTTTAACAGAATAAATGAAGCACAGTACAAGAAAATCGAGCATTAAAGAACTCAAAACAACGGCCTGTTTTAGCCAAAATACTATCAGCTGCCAAATATGTGGAAACCCCTCCTAGTATTAAAAAGTGAATGGATGTTATCTATTTCCATATTCACTCTAACACAGCAACCCAGAAAAGCTAAAACTAAAATCAAGATGCTATATTATACCACCTGCTTCAGTAAGAGCTTAAATCACATATTTTGTCGCTTTCAGAGAACATCTTTTGTTGCTTTTCACCCATTTATTACTACAGTATTTCAGTTTTTACTTT